CACAGTAAAAAATTCATAATTCAGTATGCTAATTTTAGTTTAGCAGTCTCTCTCTTACACACAGAATCAGTAGCTTCACTTTTTTATTACTTTCAACTGTATGTCATTTCTAATGATGCAGGTTGTATGAAGATACTGCTTGGCACCCTGTTTTGAAGGATGAGTTTGAATCTTCTCCACCTTTGAGGAAAGCAATAATATATGGATATGGTCCTTTTCGATGTTGGATGTCCATAGCTCACTGGTATGGCATTTAAAGGAATCATTTATTAATTAAGGTCAACTATGCCTTAAAATATCTTTATACAGTTCCTCAACAACTGCTTCATTAGCTTAAACAGCCTTGATTTCATATTTTATTACCTTTATTTTATATCGAATCTTGATATGGAGGTGCATCCAATTCCTAACACAGGTTGATGTGGCACTTTGATTTGAAGAAGTTCAGACCAAATGAAGTACCACGGGTGAAGATAAGCTTAGCTTGTGTTTTTGCCTTTATAGCAATTGGATGGCCATTAATTATTTACAAGACTGGAATCATGGGATGGATAAAATTCTGGTTGATGCCATGGTTGGGCTATCACTTTTGGGTAATTTCACTTCTATCTTGTAATTCATACTCTGTTCATCATCACCATTGACTTTAAAGTGTTTGTTTCTTTCTTTTTGTTTGGATGGGTAGTAATGTCTCGGCACATATTTAGTCAGGGCATTGTTGAAGCCATTTTTAATAATCAGGCATTGGGTTAAACTTTTGATTATGTTTTGCATTGTTGCTTGTTAACAAACTCCATCTATGGTCTTATTGTTGGTCCCAACTCCCAACCCAGGTAAAGGAGGAGGGTAGTGTTAGACCTTCAATAGCCAATGTAAAACTTGTTGAATCTCAAACATGGATCACTCACGATAGATTATAAATTGAGTACAATGGTGTCTTATGATCTATTAATTGATCTCACTTAGTGGGATTAAGTTTTTGTTGTTGTATAGGTGTTAGTTAGCAGTTAATGTCAAGCTTTAATGCAGATATAAAACAACTCATAACCTTATGTTTAGAGACTGAAAAACATACCTAACTATCCCTGGTTGCATGAGATTGTATGCTGCCAGAAAACTGAGGTCAATGTAATGGTTATAGACTTATAGCTAGGATTGATGGAGGGATCAAGTAGGGGTCTGCCCCCCTAACCATGGCTCTACACTTATATATTCTATTATATTGTACCTAGTATTACTTTATGTAAATGAAAAATGGCTTGTAAAGTCAAGTTACTAAGTTTGCATGTAATTGATTGGGCTATTGATTAAATGAGTTTTTTTTTTCTTAGTAAGAGATGTTAATAAAGTAAAAGGAGAATTTTTAAAATATGGCTGTAATATTCACATCAATGAAGTAGATAGATTTTCAGTGTAAACTTTGATGAGCATATAGAATAGCAAAATTTTAAACACCTTACCGTGCCTGTTGGTCCAAGTGTAAGGGAGTTTGGTTGCCATCGTGGATTGACACAAATGGTACAGGATCTAGTTTGAACTTGTTTTCCCAATAACACGAGTTCAACACCTCCTGCGACCATAAAATCCTACTTTAGTAGATATACTTATTCAATGAGATCCCTTAGCACAAAGGTGAAATTCCTCTTATGAGTCAATGCTGACCCTTAGTTCGGAAAGTAAAGTCCTAGGTTAAATTAGGCCCTATTAAGTTTCGGCTAACCACTAAGTGAACAATGATGTTTAATTTGAGGATTCCTAACATGTCATTGGCTTTCTGTCTGGTAGTCATGGGGGTGTCATCATCTATCTATTATTTTACTCCAAAAAAAAAAAAAGGAGCTTGGTTTCCCTTAGGTCTTAAGGAGCTTGGTTTCCCTTAGCTCAACTGAAATTAGTTAAGGCCCAATGGAAATTTTGGACACTTGGCCACTAAGACAAAAAAAATAATAATAATAATAAAAGGCATTAAACAACTCAAGGCAAAGGAATGATAATATGTTATTAGTAGCCAAAGTATAAAATCAACTTCCCTTCAATGAAAATTTTTACAATGATTTGATCGTGGATGAATTTTATGTTATGAGAAAGCACTGTTTTCAACTTTAATAAAGGTATGGCAATTTTATTTTTTAAATTTAAAATCTCTTATTTAAATATAATCTTTATAAAAGCTAGGGTTTGGAATATCTTACTTATTAAGAGCCTATTTAGCAAACAAACTAGGCTTAGGTTTTTAAGATGCTTATTTATTTAACTACATAGGATAAGGTTTGGGCTTTTTTAATAAAGACCATTTTCTTAACAAAATGGTCTATTTATTTATTATTTGAACATGATTTAATAATTTATAATGCTTATATAATTTGTTAATTTTAGATAAATTATAATATTATAAAAAGTTATATCAGTTTTTAACTTAAAACTTTTAGTTTCTTGGCCATTTTAAGGCCTTCATGTAATGTAGGCTTTTGAGTTGGTTTTCAGTCAGTCTTTTATGCTTCTACAAAAAGTTTAGGCGGTGCCCCAAAAATAGCTTATGATAGTTATAGGCGAAGATCAGGCTGAAGTTTTGCTAGATAGTTCCAACCTTATTTGCACCTCTAGTTAAAGTATCACGCTTGCCTTTTTTTTTTTTTTCCAAATCTTTTAACAGGTTTTTGGTAGTTACCATGTATTACAATCGTGTTGAATTATTAATATTTAGTAGTTTAATACTCTTGCCATGTGCCTTTAGAACTTAAAGTTATAGCAAGAGTTGCAGTATCTAAGTGATGTTATTTTGCTGGCCATCACAGATGAGTACTTTTACCATGGTACATCATACTGCCCCGCATATACCATTCAGATACTCAGAAGAGTGGAATGCTGCGCAAGCACAACTTAATGGAACTGTTCATTGTGATTACCCTAATTGGTAATGGATTATTTTTGCTCCTTTCATTGCAATGTACGTTTTTCTTGCCAACAAATTTACACATGGAGATGGAGTATATTGCATAATTGATGAGTTACTGTTGAATTCTTTTTATTTCATTGCTTATTAGAAAATGACATTGACCGATCTTTGATTCTGTGAATAATATTTAATAATTTATCCATCTTGCCATTTTGTCTTAAAATGGTTTGCAAAATTAACTTGATAGCATGAGGATTGGGTAACTGCTATTTATTGACCTTTTTATTTCCTTAACAGGATCGAGATCCTATGTCATGATATTAATGTCCATATCCCACACCACATATCCCCGAAGATACCAAGCTATAATTTAAGAGCAGCCCATAAGTCTCTGCAAGAAAATTGGGGAAAGGTGAGATAAAAAATGCATTGATCTTTTTCTGCTTGTTCCTGTATTGGAATGAGGGTCACTGTTCGATTCTTCGCATTAAAAGTATATTACCAGCATTGATATCATAAATAACAAATAATGCCTTCTCTCTTCCTCTTTTAAAATAAATGAAATTTTTAGATTATTTGTTTTACCACTGAAATTTATTGTATATGTAGTCCAAATTAAAGATTTGCAAGTTTTGTTTATTCCAATAGTACATTTGTCTCTAATCCCGTATGTTTAAAATCTTTAAAAGAAAATATCATTTTTGCTAATTATTTTTTATCGTGTTTTGCTTGTGTTGGATCGACAGCATCTGAATGAGGCTAGTTGGAATTGGAGATTGATGAAGACAATCATGACAGTGTGTCATGTGTACGATAAGGGGCAAAATTATGTTGCCTTCGACGAACTTGCCCCTGAAGATTCTCGTCCAATTACATTTTTGAAGGAAGCTATGCCTGATTATGCATAATTAGGTCCAAGCTGGCTTTTTTCTCAGGAAATTTGTTATGTATCAAATTAGGTTGGTATGCCATTCATTTTTTATTTTTTTTTACAGTTTCGTCATTGTTTAATATGGTTCTATTTTTCATATCACGTATAAAGAGAAAATGGCTCGCAGATCAATTGAAAGTTCACGTATTAGGGTAATCACGTTACCAAGTTTTGCGGATTATCCAAGGCCAAGCCCCCGAGAAGCATTCATTAGGTTAAAGTAGATGTTGTGGCAATCTGAACAGTGGGGTTCTTGTCATCACGTTGGAAGAATATTATACTATAAAGTAGTCTGACGGATAAAAAAACACGTGGAGTGTGGCACAGCGGTTTGAGCTTACTGACTTATACCGTACTGACAATGTTTTGTTATTATTGCTGGCCCTCCTTTTTTAGTATATTGATGAAATATAAGTTATACAATCTCTTTCTCACCTAATGTAAAGTCCATATTCAACCATAATTGTTTGCAAACTTAGTGTGGAACGAGCCTCTAAATCATAAACACAAGTCTTTCTCCGCGAAAGAACCCAATCGATCTTGTCTTTTGTGTTTTTTTTTTTCTTCTCTTATCTGCTAAATTCTAATGTTTAAGTTTGATTAAATTAATATTTAGAACTTCGACAAAAAAAAGATTGTCTGGTTGGTGATCTATCGTCCATTAACCTCATAGATAGTAGTACTATCTAACAACTTTGGGATTAAACCTCAGATAGTTGTACTATCTAACAACTTTGGGATTAATGTGAAATTTTTATGGATTTGATGCAGCCAAAGGAGTTGATGGGTTATTTATGTATACTATTTATTGGGAAAGGAAAGTGACCTAAAAGCAGCAAACCACTCTACTCACGCCACCAGTGACACTTTACCTGAAACGATTCTATTCAAAGCTAATCCATAAGCTGCAGCAGTTACAACTCGCAACTGCTCACACATGCGAAGGGACTTCACTTGATATTAATATTATTCCCTTCATCTTTTTTAAGGTTTGTGAAGTCACTTTACCACATTTAAACCGCCAAGTTAGTTGTGAAAGAAAAAAGTCAAAAAAGAGTACTAAGAAAGAGGGTGTGTCCTTTAAAAAAGAAAAGAGAGGGAGAGAGAAAATAAAAGGTGGCTGGTTCGAACTTAGAATCTGCAGGAGATCTGAAGTGATGTATGAAATCTGAGTCACAAAAAACAGAAAATAAGCAAACCATATATTATCTTTCTTCTGTAGATATGCACATACCCTATTACATGCACCTTCAGTATAGGTAAACCTACATGTATGCCAACTGCCAAGTCATACAAACTACTCAATCTCGTATATACAAGTTTTAAGACTCAACAGTACACTATCTAGAAAACCAGAAGCAGTCTGGTATTTAGCAAACTAAGAAGTAACCTTAAACTAAACAAATCATATAATTGGTGGTGTCGGAGTCTCCCATATATCAAACACATTCTCCTCACTATGAAGCGCAAAAAGTCTATCCCCTCCGATGGAAAAATCACAAATGGAACCACCATAGCTCCGTCTGAGCCTTGAAGTCAAAACCCACTCAGGACCACAGAACACCGAAATGCAATCATTCATGGAGGAAAAAAGCTGCCCCGCATGCAGTGCCAATTTGGGGTAACAAGGTTCCTCCGGCATCTTCCCCTTCATCAACCTACTCCTTGAGCTCCACCTTATGCTGGTGGCAGCAGAACTCCTCAAATCCATAAACCCCAAATCCTCAAACTCATTGACCACACAAATGGAACTATTGTCCTCCATGGCAATGGCATCCCTCACCCGTTTCTCATCCACGGCAAAAGGAGCCCCCACATCAGACCAACACCACACCATCCTCTTCTCCCTGAAATCCAGAAGACTAATGTAACAGTTGTCCTTCCTAGGAAACATAGTAGCAACCAACAAACAGTTGCTCCCTTCCAACCACTGAAGCTTATCAGCATCCCCAAGAGACCACCCCAAAGGCTCGTAGAAAAAATCAATCTGCTTCCCAGTAACCTGGTCCCAAACCCCAACCCCATATTCATTACTCCTCCCTTTACAACTAGAAAAAATCTTATAGTCCGAACTAAAACTCAAAGCCCCAGCAGTGTAACTCTTAACCTGATTCTCATGACAGACATGAAACTTATACCTAAGCTCCCCAGTATGAGAACTGAACAACCCCATCCCACCATCACCCCTCCCAAGACGCTCGCTGACTCCAATTACAACGTTGTCGGAGTCAACCCAACCAACATCATTAACCCTCTGGTAATCAAGATTAAGAGGAGGGTGTTCTTCTAACATCCAATCATACACATGAACCATGCTGCCATGTGCGACACAACATCCACCATCAGGGCCAGCCCGTATGGCTGTCCCATCACCCGGTGCCTGGCCCTGCATAGAGCATGACAACCTTAATCTGTTACCGTCGAACGGGCCCCACTTGGCGGCGCGCACGTGGTCCAAGAGACCGTAGTAGAGGGCCTCCCTGTACAAGAGCTTCTCGGGGATGTTGGGTGGGACGTGGAGTTCGCCGGTTCGGAGCAGATCGAGGAGAACCCCGAAGCAATCCGGGTTGCGATCGATGAACCTCTCGCTCTCGGTGTTTGTTATCAGGTTCCAATTCTCGTCGAACATTGCCCCGAACATTGAATTGCGCCCTGCATTGGCGAGTGTTGTGGATGTTGTTTCCATCACCCTGCCTCCCACGTTGAATTTCACTCTGTCTTTCTGAACCCCCATGATTTTGTTCCTCCCAAGTTTGTGACTTTTCCTGATGGGGTTCAATTCAACGCCTCTCCGGGGTTGAATTGGATGAACACGGAAGCAGAGGTGTGACTGTCGCAGAATGGGTACTGAATAAATAGGAATGGATTTTTGTTTTGTTGTTGGAGAGAGGGGAATGATTATGGTTGGAGGATTGGAATTGAAGCAAAGGGGGAGGGTGTGTGCGTTAGGATCAGAGGATAGAGATTAAGCAACGCGACAATGATGAGATTGTGGGAAAACTAGACATGGATGGTTTATTGTATTGTGAGAGAGAGAGATGGCTTTTAAAAATAGGGTTTTAAAACTGTGGGATTTGGTGAAACAAAGAGGAATCAAGATGGGTGGAGTGGTTGGAATTCAAAACTGAATTGACTTGGTTTCATCTCTCCCTCTAAGTCACTCTGTTTTTCTTCTTTCTCTCTCTCTGTTTTCTTTGCTCTCTCTTTTTCCCCTTTTGTCCCCTCGTCCTTGTTCTTCCTTTGGCTGCGGGGCATATATTTGTCTTTCCTTTTTCTTTTATAAATATATATATTGAGTTAATCACCTCAATGAAAATTTTATTCTACTTGCAATCAATCATATTTTTTTTTAGTAATATTATATCAGTTATTTATTTAATAAAATAAAATAATTTAAAAGATATGATTAATTGTTCATGTAAAAAACTTTGACAATATATAGGTAATTAACTTATATATATATATTTGTGTCTTTCTTAACAGTACACTTTAATTTTTATTCAATCTCAAGTAAAAAAACAAAATAAATTATAGTGTAAATCACAAATTTTAAAGTAGTTTTTCTTAATGTGATTATTGTTGGTATAAATTTTTTTATAGATTGATTTATGCAAACTAAAAATCTATGATGGGGTCCAATGAATCACACACCATCATTCTCCGAATGACATCAAACGGTTGTAATGAAATATGAATGGTAGGAACAAAGTACGCTCGGTAGCAGATGATCAAACCCCCTTTGTTAAATAGATATTTAAAGTAGTTGGCTCCTCTCCGTTGTTCTTACTAAGTCAACTTTCGTGCGCGGGATTGGAGGTTTAGATAGAAAGCGCGTCTCATGAAACTTTCAATTTCAAAATTGATGAGATTTTTTATAACTCAGAATTAATAAGAGGGGGGACTCAGATTTTAAGAGCAACTTATTCTGTTTACTCTTTGAATGTTGTAACTAATTGGGTCAATTTTGACTAGTAATATATCCTTGTCATTCTTTACTTCACTTCAATGGGTTCTTCCAAACCTAAACGCTCTAATGAATGTAGGCGAAACGACACTACTCTATGTGTGTGTGTGATGTTGAAGTGCCAATTTTCACAATAAAAAATAAGCTCACCAAAAAGGGTATTCCAATTGACTGGAATTGGAATGATAAATGATAATCATGTATTCACGATGGATAAACAGATAAGTGTTAGCGTCATCATTTGTGAAGTGAACATTCATTTTTCCTTTTTTTCCTTTCGTGATAAGATAAGTCTCAATCTTTTTTCCTAATAAGAGTAGTATTTTATTTATTTAGGAAGATAAAATGAAAACTCATTGTGTGCCACTCGATTCAATCGAAGGAACAAGTTGTGAAGCTCGAGGGCTTTTACAGAGTCTTTTAGGCCTTGAATTACTCAGCTTTTTCCTTATGCCCTGGCCCACCTCTTCAACTCGTAGCGGGCCGTGGACGACAAAACTTTCACACTTGAGTAGTATTTTACATAAGATAATTGAGTAATGGACACTTCTCGGTGCTTTTGAAGTAGTCAATACGTTCCAATTTCTATTTGAAAATTTTAAAAACAATATATTAAATAAGTTCAAAGAGTAAAAGTATTGACCACTTTAATTTTTAAATTATAAAATACTTTAATTCTTATAATTATCATTTGATGATCGTCTCAAAGCTTGAAATGACTTGTGCATAATAATTTTGGGAACTGAAGTGATACTTGTATTCATAATTTCAAGGACTAATTTTATATATTTCTAATAAAAAGGAATAATTTAAATAGTATTAGGGAAGAAGAAAAAAAACCTTCCCTTGTGGAGAAGAGGGTTTGGTAGGTCTTGAGCCTTTTTCCATTCCATTTTCAGTGACGTTTCAATATGAGAATAAACATGGCACGGTGGATCTTACTCTAAGATGATATTTATTGTGAGAATATTTCAAATTAGAATCTATACAAGTAAGTTTTTGTACTATTCGTAGTTCACTATTTATAATTGTTAGCTATTTCTTTTCACCGAACCACACCGAGTGGTTTATAATTAACTAAACAAATCTCTAAAATAAATATAATATATTTTAATTCTAAACAATATTAAAAAAGAATCAATATCTTTTAAAATCTAAATAATATCTTAGAGATTTGAATTTAAAAATTTGAATTGTTTTCCAAGAACACTTTCTCACATCATCGGGCACATTTGTCTAATGTTTATTTTTCATGAACCTTTTGTTTACCACCAAAAATAAAAATCAGTTATTCCTGTGTTCTACTCCTTGCACGAGTAATTTATATAAACGGACAAAAAACAAAGCAATTATAATAATAATTACGAAATGATTCAAAATCTGTAAAAAATTCAATGCTGTGCCTTTTATAGTCTTTCATAATCCTTGAGAATAATGACCTTTTTTGTCTCGTGTACATGAGCTCTTTATTTTCTGTGTGTGAAGACAGCTGCAGAAGCCTATGAAGGCATAAGTCCATCTGATAAGGAATCTTGATTTTTCCAAGATGATAGCTAAATCACTTTTATTTAAGTTAAAAAGAAATGTTATTAGAATAACATATTATCGAGTTACCGAGAAGAGCACCACAATCAAAGGGAAGATATGTTATCTATGTCTGCATATGTAACCATTTACAACAAACAAAGGACAGAAAATATCCAACAATATCTACAAACTAACAAACCATTACTACTGTGAGATAAATATATCATAAGCAAAAATCCCTTATAAGATCCGAGAATGACGTTTGCTATCATTCAACAGAAGGCAAGTTTAGCAATAAATATAAGCATATCAACACTAGACTCAATTAATTTAGATTGGTCGTAAAAGAATATTTTCCATTTATGCTTCATATATTGTCTATTGGCTAAATGTTCAGAACTCGGAACATTTTATAGAGTATTTCAAATAACTCTATCCGTTAAATATAATAATATCAGCCATTTCGAAAAATCAATAATCAAACTGAGGTGAATTGAATGATATTTCATAGACGAACGATTTATTGCCAGCAATAAAATGATCAACAAGGTGTCGGGTATATTTCAGAATTTTCTAAAATATTCATTCGATATTATGAAAAATGTGGAGATTGATGAGCTAGATAGTATGAAGAATCTCATTTGAGATCAATTTGAGTAATTTTTCAATATGGAAGAGAGGTTGAAATTGTAAACACTTTAAATAATAGAAGAAGCAATGTTCAAGCTTTGAGAGTGAAAATATGTGGGAGACATCGAGGCATGTGGCATTGTGTAATATAAGATATAAGATTATAGGGACTCGTTGGTAATTATGATATGATATAATATGATATAAGAGATACAATAAGATTAAAATATGATAAGAGTATGATAAACTTTAATCATATATATGATATAGTATATTTTTGTAGGTGTTGGAAACAATTTTTTTTTTTTTACGTACAATAATGATGATGAGAAACATACTAAAATAACACCATAAAAGAAATAGGAAAAAATCTCACAAATTTATTTAACGTGGTTCAGCCCTTCATGTCTACGTTCACAATGATGTTCATTATTTATTTTAAAACGTGTTACATATATCTTGAAAATCTTCCCTTCAAGTTTTGTGGGTTAAACTTGAAAACCCCTTCCTCACATGTTTTATGGGTGAAACTTGTAAACCTCTTCCTCACAAGTTTTATGGTGAAACTTAGAAATCCCTTCTCACAAATTTTCTGGAGAAACTTGAAAACCATCATTCACAAGTTTTTCTGGCGAAACTTAGAAACCCTCATTCATATGACCTCCTCTCTCATTTAAGGCGATGACCCCCTCTATAGGTCGGGTGGTTCTTCTCATCTCAAGAGTCTTTATTTATTGATCTTACATCACTATTTTAAAAAAGGAAACAAATCTCTAAAATAAATATAATATATTTTAATTCTAAACAATATTAAAAAAGAATCAATATCTTTTAAAATCTAAATAATATCTTAGAGATTTGAATTTAAAAATTTGAATTGTTTTCCCAACAGTAGGTATTTAACTTTGCGTTAAAAAAAAACTCTCGTTTATTATCATTAATATATAGCAAACAACTATTAATCAAAAGGCCACCATGATCTATAAATTACCTTACATTAATCCTTTTCAAATCATGCATTGAGCTAGTTACACGTAGTTTTTTCTTTGACAAGTGACAACGTTTGGTGGCAATGTGATGGTCACAATCTTCTTTTCCTTTTTAACTTTTGAGATAGGAGAGTGGAATGAGGATGACACCGAATGCTTCAGAGCAGAGTTTTGGATAATTAAACTTAGGATTGGCTCTATAGTTACGAAGCTTAAAAAAGACATTACATGATTGGAATTTTTCTTAAACTCAAAGTCATCATATAGTTTATCTTCGTCTTATCATACTTAATTTTGGTGGGTACGATCAAACATTTCAAATCAAGCACTGAGTGTTAACAATGCAATTTGTCTAACAAATTATCTAGTTCCATTATATCTGCCGCAAGCAATGCATGATACTAAGGTGAGTACGAGTTAATTGTTCAGTCAAAGTGCGTGGTGCATTTATTCATCTTCATTCTTCACCATCAGTCAAATTGCTATAATTTGCTCCATCATGGTCTCGATAAATAGGATCCATTGATAATAATAATACACTTGTTTGGTGCAAAGTTTAAGAATTTTACCCATAAAACTCAATCTGCACCAATCTCACTGAATATCAGTTAATTCACTCTCGATAAATGAGTAATATATTTAGACATTGTTAAATATATATATATATATA